GGGTATATAAATACTTGCCAGTTGATTTTCACTATGAGTATTAATTAAAAATTTATTAATGATGATATGATTACAATACTTACAGAAAAGGAATATTACACAATGATATTAAAAATGTGAATCATAAAAATAAATTGATCAACAGGAAATGAACAAAAAGATGATTTTTTTCTCATCTGCAACCTTTAAATAATACAGAAATGTGAAAACCTGATTAAATATATTAATTATACAAAAATACATAACATAATGAATGATGTCTAGTCATAGAGCTTCAAAAATTTATTTTCACTTAGGCCAGACTTTTATTATCTCTTGTTTCGCGAACCCACCGAATGAACAGAGCCGAAAATGAAATAACAACTCTTTGAGAATCACACAAATCTAATAAAAAAAAAGAATTTTTTTTTTTTTTCGCCCTCAAAAAAATTGCCTTATAAAAACTCAAGAAACAAGGAATAAAAAAAGTCTGGCCTTATGCATTTTTTACTTATTCTTTATTTTATATTGATTGTGTTTTTTTCCAACATTCTATTGCTTTGTTGTTTTTGTTTATACTTTATTATTGGTAATACTAAACCAGGTGATGTTATCACGATTTCAAGTTACTTCTTATCAGCTATGAACTGGACTAAAAATGTTGCTTTCTATTATGTACTACATACAGTCATATTGGTTGCATTGAACCATTATAAATGAATCATAAATAAGTGGTGCCATGAATTATCCATTAAGATTTGTCAATAATTAGGATTTAACATGTTTTTTTATATAGGTTGAAACTTCAGATCATGCAAGACTTCGTATATTTCTTGCTTTTAACAATCATTTTGAGGTATGTCACTGACATTGTTCATTAGTCACTTACACTACCCTCCACACCTCCCCAGGCAGTGGCCTTTTCATTGATTGCAATATTTGGTAGAGAATTTGAGCTTAATGATTTTATCTGTGGGATAATCTCAGATCAAAGGTAGCAGCAGGTTATATAACCCATTAATGATTATTAATCAATAATCTATTACAAACTATCAGTCCTTCAGGATCCAAGGCCCTGTAAATTTTCATACTATTTCTTTATTTGTATGTTGTATTACTTCACTGCTGTCTTAATGTATGCATTCCATCAGCCTTTAAGCGACATAGCATTTTGACAATTAATTTGATAATAAAAAAAAAACTTTTCGTAGTTGTGGGATTTGTGATGTAAAAATTAAAACAAGTCACCTTCCATGAAGCATGTATCAACCTCGACATTTGTTTAGGATTTACTCACAGTTCCTATGATAGAGGGACTAGCCATGATTTACTTTAATACTTACTAGTAGTGTGTCTTTTGAGTGCCTCATCATGGAAGTAATAGATGTGTTAATGTACTGTAAAATACTTTAAATTTGCTTGGAATTAATTTTCACTATTTTCGCTGAAGGAATGACTCAGTGAAAATAAAATCCAGCGAATATACCTTTTTTCCTATATTTTACATTCAACTTGTCAAAAATCTGTGAAAATAGCTTCCATACAAAGCTCCCAAAATGTCTTTTCAGCGAAAATTAATTCCAGCTAAAAATAAATTATTTTATTTGCTTATTATTATTACATATTGAGAACATATTCATAAAATCATGTACTACAATATTGTAAATCTACTTTCAGTTTACTCATGGTATTCTGGAAGAAGAACTCAAAATATTTTCAGTGCCTGATTTTATTGGATTTGCATGCAAGCAAGTTGGTAAGTTAATTATTACTCTCAATCTGAATCCTTTTCATAATGGGCCGGATTTATTATCTAAATGCAAAATGATCATTTTGTGCCTTCACTTAGTTATTTTCATTTATCCTGACAACTTTTATTATTTGTCTTGTACTTCACTGGCATGCTGACAGATAGCCTTATAGAACGGAATTGGCTGTGCATGGGTCTATGTTTTAAATCCACACTATCTTGTTGTGCTTCTAATACATGTTTACAAACAACGTCAGAATTGCAATTGTTTATTCGCAGGAAGTAGAATACGTGGAGTTGTTGCTCAGACTCCATTTGACACTTTTCATCGTTATTCAGCTAAAATTATTCGGGAAGCCATTTTTGGTGTTGACAAGAAGGGGAAAATAGGAGCAAAATTAAAATTTGATGTCAATGGTTTGGTAAGTAGTTATTCAGTGTGCTCTCTAAATTTTTATCTCTGTTCAGGTACAGCCTGAAAATTGAACTACCAACTTCGGCTTACCCATCCATCCATCTGTATGCGTGTCTTTGTGTTACTGGCATCTTTTCAGAAATTCTGAAGCATATTACCGGTAATCAATTAAACTTAATTGGCTCTACAATTTTTCCCAAAACTGAGTATCCTAAGTACCGTAAAATCTGTATTAGAAGCCACATTCCTAATAGAAGCTGCACCCATTCTTTTTGAACAATTGAGAACCAAACATTCACAATTTCTCATATGTGTAGATGCTCTAATACCGTAGAAGCCGCATCACCTCTGTTGCATTGTACCATTTTAATAGAAGCTGCGGCTTTTAATACAGATTTTACAGTAGGTCTTTTTCGTGATTTTTACTGTTAATCAGCCTTCCTCAAACCCAAGACTGCCAGAACAATTGCACATGCACGATTTTCACTTTGAGTATTAAGTTGATTCAGTTAAATTCATATTCATATTGATTAATTTTGGATTCACTTTATTAGTTCGTGCATCCATACATGCTTGCATCCGGATCTATTTCTTAGACATGTCTGGATCGATTTCATTCAAACTCCACACATACATCATACATAATATTATACATATGCACATTAATTTGTTTCACGATCTGATTCAAGATGGCTGAATGGTGGCACTTTTTGTACTGAAAAATCATCAAAAACAAGCACTTCTCGGCTGTTTACAGATGGATTTTGTTCAAACTTGTTACATACATTGGATATTATGGGACCTTGATGCACATCATTTTGTTTTTCAGATCGGATTAAAAATAGCTGACTGGTGGCCATTTTGTTTTATTGAATGCAATTGTAGAGCCATATCTCTGACATGCTTTGACTTATGTTAACATTTTATTTATTCATTATACATCATGTCAATGTTATACAGATATATTGGTTTGACAATCCGATTAAAAATGGCCGACCGGTAG